TGCCTTTCTCAAAATTGGCCACCATGCTGCTTCACAGAGATTTTACCTGGTGATTTGCTAGTTTACATACTGAGCCATTCTTTTCAGATAAGAATAGCAAATGTACTGACCTTCAATAGAGACATCATTCCCACCGGCCACATCCATGTACTCTTTCCTTTAGTGCAGTAAACAGACTATTCTACCTTCTATGCAATTATGTTTCATTTCCTACATATAATGTATCCCTTTCTCTTGGAAGGTAGTTTCCATGTGAATATGCTCCTAATACCTCTTGCCCAGACAGCATTTTTTCCCTTAAATTCTTCTTAGGTTATGTATCACTTGCTTTAATTTAAAAATCCCCAAAAAATTATTTATCCTAAAATTCATGTATTTTCAAAATTAAGTGTGAAAAAAAGTTGTTTCAAAGGCTTTGGGAAATACAGAATAAGTAACTATAGGAATCTCAATAAATGTAATACTTAATTCAGATTAATAAAAAATACTTTCAGGGTATCACAGTGACTCAGTGGGTAAAGGTGCCTGCAGCCAAATGACTTGAATTCATAACCCCAAACCTACTGCTTCATGTTCGTTCTCCCTCTTCTAGATATTTGTCCCTGTGAAAAAATAAAATATAACTTAAAATATTCAAACATAATTTTTTCACAGTTTTTCCTTAAAAATCTGAAAGAAATTCAGATAATGTGGATAAAGAAAAAAAAGGTATTGTAATTTTCTTATTTGCCAAAATTATTTATTTACTTTTACATTTTGCAATTTTGTAAGTGAGCTCCTGGCTTCACACACGCTAGCAATGGTCTCCACCACTGGTATATATCCTCGGCTGCTGGAAGTAAAGTTTTAAATGCCTTTTACAACAAATCTCCCCTGCTTTAGATTTTTCTCCCCATACGCATTCGGGTGAATTTTAAAAAATATAAACAGTTTTCTTTTTATAAATAACAACCATAAGATTACTCTAGGCCGGGTGTTGGTGGCACATGCCTTTAATCCCAGCACTTGGGAGACAGAGGCAGGTGGATCTCTGTGAGTTTGAGGCCAGCCTGGTCTACAGAGCTAGTTCCAGGATAGGCTCCAAAGCCACAAAGAAACCCTGTCTCAAAAACCAAACAAACAAACAAACAAACAAAACCCCAGACAAGCAAAAACATTACTCTGCACACCATCTTTATTGTCACTTAGAATAAATCCAGAGATTTTACACATAGTTACAAGACATTAAATATACACTATATACTGTTAACCACTAGCTAAACAAAGAGACTGTAGTTCATATGAATTGTTATATGCTATAATGGCCTTGAAAGAAACAGTCACTAATAATTTTATACTGATATAACATAATGACATTTGGGATATGTTAATGTGAAAACATGGAAAATAATCAGACTAACTTAGTTTTCAATGCGACTGCTAAACATTTTAATCACATACTGTACATTTGGAGTTCATATTAGTTCTTTTGTACATTTCTGGATTATTTTTCCCCTGTAGGCCAGCAGCTCCTTCCCATTTCCACCCTCCACCAGCTTCCGGTGGTCCTCAGTAGGTAGTGCCTGCCCCAGAGGCTCAGTGCCAGCGAGTCTCTCTGCCAAGAAGTTCTTCCAAAGCTGTTGAGAAATGTTTTTAATATTTTAAATTACATTTTATTTGTTCTTGAGGGTGGCAGATCTTGTGCTGTGGCGCATGTGTAGAGGTGGGACAACTCTAAGCAGTGGGTTTTTTTGGCAGTGAATTCAAGCCATTTGGCTGCAACTAACCCCATGGTTAGTCCCTTCATTTTTGCCTATCTTGGATAGAATTATCAGAAAGTATCTGGTGAACCAATTTTAAGTTGTTTTATTCCCATGCATATCACCACCACTGTTCTCTATTTTTGAAGACCTGGGTAGACAAGCCAGCATATTTATTCATTTATGTAAGTTCTTATGTAGCACCTCTGATCATCCCTTAAATACAGGGGTCTTATCTGTTTATTTCTTTCTCTTGATCATAGCATCAGGCTTGCAAGGAATATTAAACACTTGTGAGATAAATGAAAGAATGAAAATAAAATAATGTTTGATAAGGTAGTTCAATGGTAAAAGCTACCAAGTGTGATGACCTGAGATTGATCTCCCAAGATACATATGGTTGAAGCAAAACACACACACACACACACACACACACACACACACACACACTACAAGAAAGTGAATATTAAAATGAGGTGATATCTAAATCTTTGAAGAGATCAGACAATCAGACAAGGGGAAGAACTAACAATTTCTGGGTCTATAGTGTCCGACAGGCTGTACTAAACACACTCCATGTGCTGATAAATTCTCACAGAAACGTGATGTTGGTGAGGAGTCTAAAGCTCAAAGGGTTTAAATCAGGCCCCCCCAAATCACTTTGGTAGCACTGACTGACTACTGCTTCAAAACCTTCATTTTATTACAAAAAAAGCTTCTTGTGTCTTCCAAAACTGATGTACTAAAGTAGTAGAATATTCTCATAGGGCTGTTTCTCATCCTATTACTTATCAATACTGTGATACTCCCCAGTGAGGTCTTATGCCCAATCTAGAGTCTATTGCCAGCACAATAAACCATCTCAGGAGGCAGCAATTACCTAGCTGGAGTCTCCATGTCCAAAGCTGTCCACTTTGAGTGGTAAGAAGTGTCTTATACATGCTTGTTAAGACTAATAAATGAAATTAGCTTTCTTCTCAATCATTCTAAACAGGTCCTGAGCCGGTTACTTGTGTCTAATGAGAATGGATGGCTTTGTAGGCCAACCCATGAACAGCACCCATTTGAATGAAGAACAGCTGAGAGCTGTAAGGGAGAGTTTGCTGATGTGTAAGCAGACTTAGTCCTCAACCACTGACCATACATAATTGGAAAAGTCTTTGAAAACGTGTTGCCCATCATGGCTGCAGCTGACCACATGGGGATATTTAAATCAGAATGAATTCAAATTATATAAATCTGAAAATACATTTCCTCAGTCATACTAGCCACATTCAAGTGCCCCAGAATCTCATGTGGCCAGCCAAAGTTCCACAAGATAATACTTGCATGAAAATTAATTTTTTTTGTGTGTGTGACGATGTATCGTTAAGTCAGGATAGTCCTATTTGCTTGGCTAGGTTTTTTTCCTAACTGAAATTCGACATTGAGAAAGAATCAGATATTCTTCATTCCCATGAGTCTCCAGGCAAGCCTCAGATGGGAAAGGAAAGGCATTCATGGTCAAACAGAAGCAACCTTTAGTCAGCCGGGCCCGTGTACAGCCAGTGACTGGCGTGGAAAGAACCCTCCTGCAATGGTTTCAGGCTGGCTTTCTGTTCCAGAGAGGCTGCCAGCACAGCGCTCTACAGAGCCATTCCGCTTAATGCCATTCAATACCATCCCCGTTGAAGTTGATCTATAAAGCAGAACAGTGAAATGTGAAGAGAGGCAAAAGGTTTGGGATGTCAGACGAACCAGACTGCACATGGTTAGACTCACGACTTCGTTCAGAGAACAACTGTGAAATGTCTCCTTCAAAATATCACGTATCTTCAGATAATTTCTTCTCAATATTAAAACGATTTTGGCTAATACCATTTACATGAGATCCCTCTCCAGGGGGATGAACTGTCGATGTCTTAGAATAGGCAAGAACAAAAAATTACATCTTCTATTTTATTTTATGATTAACTTCATCCAGATTATCTCCTTGGTGTGCGTCTTTGAGCCGTTCTGATTCGTTCGCATTTTGTAATCGTTTGCCGGCCCTTAGTCTTCTTCCCAGACAGAAAATGATTCATGTTTCTTATTTCCACACAAGATTCTACCAGGGGAGCGGAGGAGGGACGATTAGGCAACCCCACATTTCCCAAGTCAACAGGTGGACAGTCTTCACAAGTTCTTTGGAGATTGAACACCCCCAACCCCAGTCTCCCACCCCACCCTACCCTGCATTCACCTTCATCTCTCCAGGCCTTCGGAGCCTGTATTTACAATCTCAGATTTTTTTTTTTTTTTTCCCCAGTAGACACCAAATGCTGCTGATGCTGTGACCTGAGGAGGGGGTTGGGAGGAGAAACTCAGGTAGGGCTGCTAGGCTGGGGCTGACCGTTGGTTTCCTGGCAGTGAGTAGAGAAAGAGGGCGCGGCACAGTGGCAACAGTAAGTGTAGCCACTCAGAACCCAAACCGCCCAAGTGGATCCGCGGACCCCGGGCAGGGCGCAGTGGGAGAGGGTCACACCAGGACGCCATGGGCCCTGGACGAGGACATGGCAGCCTACCCAGGGCAGTGCACTGTTGCCGGGGGCTCAGGGATTCTAGCTCCGCGGATAAACCCAGCCGGGCAAAGGCGCCAGGAGGAGCGCACCCGAGGCCCGAGAAGCCGGGTCAGGAGGGCGGGGCAGGGGCGGGACGAGACCCAAAGCAGGAGCCAAAGGAGGGGAGATCAGGGGACCGCCGCGCTGGAAGCCGGAGGTGGCCACACAGGCGTCGTTTCCTTCCGGAGAGGAGGCTGGCCGAGAGGCGCTGGCTGGGGGGCGTCTAAGGGCGGGGGACGGGGAAATACCACGACCCCGCGCTTCCCCACGCCTGGCTGCCACGGCGCGGGTGGCTCCTCCTTCGGGCCGGTCCCGAGCCGGGCGGCGAGTGGGAGGGAGGCGGGGAGCGAGGGCGGAGGCTCGGGGAGGAGGAGGGACCAGGCGCGCCTGTGACAGGGTGGCAGCCGAGAAGCGGACGCGTTGCCGCCGCCGCTCCTCCTCCTGCAGCTCCTCTCGCGGCGGCCGCCGCCACCTCCGCCGCTGCCGAAGTTTCACTCCCGACCCTCGGCGGGAGCCCCAGCGCGGAGCAGAGCAGTCGCCTCGCCTGGAGCTGCAGCGCAGCGCCGGCAGCTCGGCGTGGGGATAGCCAGCCCGCGTTGGCGCCCAGGCGGCGTTTCGCGGCCCGGGCTGGGGTCGCAGAGACACAGCTGGGGCGGCAGCCAGCCTAGGGGACCCACGACATCTCCCACACCGCCCAGCCTGCGTTCGAGCCCTGGGCTGCCGCGATGGCCGTGCGCTCCCGCCGCCCGTGGGTGAGCGTGGCTCTGGGGTTGGTCCTGGGCTTCACCGCCGCGTCCTGGCTCATCGCCCCCCGGGTGGCCGAGCTGAGTGAGAGGAGGCGACACGGCTCCAGCCTCTGCTCCTACTACGGCCGCTTGGCCACCGGGCCCCGCGCGGGCGCGCAGCAGCCGCTTCCCCAGCCCCAGTCCCGGCCGCGGCTAGAACAGTCGCCGCCCCCTGCCAGCCAGGAGCTCCCGGGGCCGCAAAGGCAGGAGGCGGCGCCCGAAGGTCCCAGTTTTCGAAGCAGCCCCTGGCAGCAACCCGCTCCGCTGCCGCAGAGGAGGCGAGGACACAAGCCCGAAGGTGCGACGCCTCTTTCCGGCGCTCCAGCTGCCAAAGGGTCACCCGAGGAGGAGGACGGGGGCGCGGCTGACCCTCGGAAGAGTGGCCGGCCGGGGAGCAGCCACAACGGCAGCGGGGATGGGGGCGCCGTTGCCCCGAGCTCCGGACCCGGAGACTTCCTATACGTGGGTGTGATGACCGCGCAGAAGTACCTGGGCAGTCGTGCGCTGGCAGCGCAGAGGACCTGGGCGCGCTTCATCCCTGGCCGCGTGGAGTTCTTTTCCAGTCAGCAGCCTTCCAGTGCCGCGCTCGGCCAGCCCCCTCCACCTTTGCCTGTCATCGCGCTGCCGGGGGTCGACGATTCCTACCCTCCCCAGAAGAAGTCCTTCATGATGATCAAGTACATGCACGACCACTACCTGGACAAGTATGAGTGGTTCATGCGCGCCGACGACGACGTCTACATCAAAGGTGACCTCCCAGTGCTAGCTGTGTCCCCCCACCACCACCCTCCCCCGCCCACCTCTTTCGCTGCTGTCCACCCCAGCCCTTCCACTGCTTCTCTGCCATCACCTGCTCTGGGCTGCTATCCCCACCCCTCGCATCTGCCCACCATTCTTAGCCTGCTCCTTCTCTTCTGCAATCTGGACCCTCCTCATACCTGCTCAGCTTTATTCACTTTCATCGCTCTTGTTGTTTGTTGTTCCTTCCCTCTGGCTCAGGTCCCTACTCGAAAGGCGAAGAAAAGAACCTCAGAGCTAATCCAAAAGCCATGCCCGCCCCTCCCCCAAGTAGGTGATAGTTTCCCAGATCTGTCCAGAGGGGCGTGTCCTGGCTAGAGGAAAGCTAGATGCAGGATGCTGGCTAGAGCAGGGCTGGAGATTTCGCGTTGCAGCTTTACTCCCCTTCTCCTTTGTTTCAGCTTGGTCTAAGGCAGTTTTAGAACTGCTGGGGTTGAGGATAGCCATCTTTTAATGTCCCAGATCCGTGTTTGAACATTCGGTTGCCTTTAGAAACTTGCCCCACACCGAGACCTTGGATACACCCACAAGCCCGGCGTGCTAGCTGTTAGCCATTCTGTTACACTTTAATAAAACCCAGAGGCGATGGGTGGGGCTCCCCAAAGGTCAGGTGGAGAAGAGGGGTTGAAGGAGCTTTACATTTACACAGACACTGATAGCTGCAAGCTGCATCATGCATACTAACGGTGGATACTTTCCAGTTCATCTTGGTGACTGCACCGTTAGACAAGAGTCTAGGACTCCCCAGAACTACATCACACAGCCACAGCATGATGAAACTTTGTCAGGGAAGGGGCAGCTCCCCCACCACCAGATGATCCATAGGTCTAGATGGAAAATTTCTAAGCTCAATAACTCAAAGTTCCTTAAAGCACAGGAGTAAATCCGGTTCAGACCGTGGAAAAGGTGGGAAAAGTTTGCAAAGAAAGAAATGGGCTTATCCTAAAGAAGCAATCAGTGCTTTCCAAGCTTTCAGACCTCTTGCTCTGTGGAGTGCAGCCCTTCCTCAGCATGTACTGGCTATTTGTAAACCCTTCACTGGATGTTAGGACAAGCAAATCCAAAGGTGGTCTTTGGGACAAGGAATTGATGTTAACAGTCGATGGTCTGAGTTTTGAGTTGGGAGGAGCACAATCACTGTGGTGGTGAAGTTTGAATTGAGGGATTTTGATAGTTAACTGTAAATAAACCTATTGTGATCACATTCTTCCAATGGGTTATCTGTAGTTGATTCAGAAAAATATGACTTTCAAAAGTATTGACACTTAAGCTAACTTCGTGCCTTGTTGTTCTTGGACTTTAGGATAATTATCTTTTGTTTCTCATCAAAAATCACAAAAGGTTTCCTGCCAGAGGGGTCGTGCTTTGCAGCATGCATTGATAGTACCTACTTCTGTCATTCTATTTTAAGTTTTGAAGTATTATTACCTTTCAAATCTTTGAAATGTCATATTGCTTCTATTAAAAATAAAAAAAGCATTTTGTATTAAGAACTCAGTCATAGTTTTAAAAAAATCCTCGTTGAGAGCTAGAGGGGTGACATGGAATTAAGATAATGGCCAAACATGCCCTCATGCTCATCAAAACCAGAATAACAAGTCTGAATAAGACTGTGAAGAGGTTGGCTACTTATTCTGATACATTGCTATATAGAATATTAGATGCGTTGAAGTCTTAAAGCTACAGAGTTTTATTTTATGTCCTTTATTTTAACTTACCACCCACAAGTCAGTTTATCACATTATTTTGATTGTAATGTTTATGACTTTTCCCCTCTGAAGTAAATCCTTCCCAAGTTCAGTTTCAGGATGAACTTTCATTTAAATGCCCCTTATTTATGTAGGTTGTATGTGACTGAAGTTTAATTAAAAAGAAACATCCAACCAAAGCAATTACTGTAGGGAAAAAAAAACCTATAGTTGGATATTGGTGCTATGGAGGTAGCTGAATTGGCAAAGTGCTTGCCTTGCGGGAATCAGAACGAGTTGCATCCCCAAAACCATGTAAAAAAAAAAAATCTAGACCTGGTAGAATACTCTCTGGCTTGCCAGTCTATTCTACTTGGTGAGTTCCAGGTAAGTTAGAAAGACATTTGTCTCCAAAAACAAAGTGCCTGGAACTAGAAAAATTCACCTACAGTTGAACTCTGGCCTCCATGTGCATGCATATGATGTTACACCCCTACCTGTAAAGATATAGACACAAACATGCATACAAATAAAAATGTTTATTAGCTATCAAAAGATTGCCCAAACAGCACCAAATACAAGCATTTGATATTGTGTTATATTTCTGGGAAATTTCTTTTTTTTACTTCAAATGTATTAAGATTCTTTATTCCCCTTATTTTTATCTCACCACTGGTGCAAGTTTGATGATTGTTAGAGCTGTTTAAATTGTACTAAGGTTTAAGAAATAACCATAATTTGTGTTTTGAAAATTATAGGAGGGAGAATTGTTTCTTATTCCCGGCAGTATAAGGTGTACATGGAGGTTAAGAGGAATGGCGGAGGAAGTTTTCACTCTATTGAACCCAGTAATTGCCTGTGAAATGAGGGAAGGAGGTGACTCTTGGTTTTCTCTTTGTAGGTGATAAATTAGAAGAATTCCTTAGGTCCCTAAATAGCAGCAAGCCTCTCTACCTGGGACAGACTGGCCTGGGGAATACGGAAGAACTTGGGAAGCTGGGACTGGAACCTGGAGAGAATTTCTGCATGGGAGGACCTGGCATGATCTTCAGCAGAGAAGTTCTCAGGAGGATGGTGCCTCACATCGGTGAATGCCTCAGAGAAATGTACACCACTCACGAGGACGTGGAAGTGGGCCGCTGTGTTCGCCGCTTTGGCGGGACTCAGTGTGTCTGGTCTTATGAGGTAAGCCTTGAGATGTGACAAATATTTGTGGGTTACAGATGCATGCCACTTTACACTTTACATCCTGGACAAGAGTCCTGTCTCTCCTTTACCTACCTTTATTTGGTTCAAAAATCATAGTGGTCATTTTATGGATTTGGGGATGATTGTGGAATACATCTTTCTTGTTGGACCCAGAGCTTTTCACATGAATCTTAACTTTAAGCAGACTTCTGGTTACATCCCTGTGAGATAAAATTCCCCCTACCCCTCTGTATTTGCTTTTTTTGGCATTTACATGCATGCGTATTCATTTGGTGTCTCTAACAAGAGGGCTAATTTTAGTTCCTTCCACTATAATTTTTATTATTTGGTACTGTCTCAATGCTTGTTTTTCTTATTTACATGACAACAGCGCTTTGCTTTCCCATGGCTAAAATTTGGTTTCCTTGGGAACATTCAAGTGGGAATTGAACACTTAGTGGGAGGTCAGCATTATGTCACTTGTGATAGGTTCATTTCCAGCACTTTAAACACTCTGCCTGATAGTGTGTGAGCAATCTGGGGAAATGGCTCAGGGTGTCACATACTGCATTTTCACTTGTTCTCCAGACTTTATTTATGTCTATTTTGGTGGTAATTTATCAACAGTCAGACTTATTTGAATAATCTGAGGTATGGTCTGTTATGACATTGTGGCCATTAATTTCGTGAACTTTTCCCTTTGGATTTGACTTTGAAATCAAACGGATTGTCCTTTAAAATAGATTTCCTGAAAGATAATCTTAGTAACAATTGATTTGACTTTTAAATAATATATTGAAATTTTAATGCAGTTTTGTTTCCAAACATTCGGAGTTTAATCTGATTTTACCTATGCAGTAGACACTGTTTAAAACTGCATTTTAACTTTTTTGTTTACCTTAAATAATTTAAAAAATTTATTGCAGAGGACATATTTTATGAAAATATGTTTCATGTGAAATGATTGTCCATTAAAGTTCTGTGGTATGGTTCCTTTTTTTTCTTTCAGGAGTGTAATATCACTGAGTTACTTTAAATAATTATTACACACAAGGACTTCCTGATAATTATGTATTTGGAATATGTATTAGGCAAATCTAGATGATTATGTAAGTAGTCCCTTTTAACAATAAAATAGGAAATTTTGTTTTATAAAACTGTCCTTTAGCTTTAGTAATCCATTCCTGTAATTTTAACCCTTGCAAACCCTGAAGAGGGAGGACTGTGAGTTTGAGGTTAGCCTGAGATGTGTAGTCAGACTGTCTCCAAAATAACACAGAACAACAGTATTTAGAAGAAGGTAGAGCTTTTATTACTAAAGGTGACTTCACTGAACTCAATAAAAAATTCTCTCCATAACAAAATTATCTGTGAAAGGCAACACATGCTTAATGTATAAAATACAAGCGAATCTTATGGCAAGATATGTTTGGAATGAATGAGTGAAAACAAAATGGGGAAGTATGTGTGGGTTTTTTTTTGATAAATTAAATAAATTAAATAGAAAATTTTAGTAAACTATCTTTTATTACCTTCCACATTTTCATTGATCCTGTGATGAATATCCAGGCTTTACCTACTCCTTTATCTGTTCATGTTCCATGACAGGAAAATGTGCTCAGCTGATGTTCGAGCTCTCTTTTAGGCTGTACATTGGCGATGTTTCTAGTAGCTTTTGCAGAATGTTTCAATTTGGAATGATACTTGCCCATAACTGACTTCATCTCTATCAACAGATCATTTCAACATTCTGTTCTAGTTCCAGGAAAGTAACCAAAAAAACAATTAGTCTCCTGAATGAACTACTGAGCAGCTCCAAGGCCTTCATACCGTGTTTAGCCTGTGGCAGGGTATTGTCACATCATTGTCTAAGAGCTGTACACTGTGCCTAATAGTCCACATTAGGAGTGTAATAATGTAACACGGATTCAGAAACTTTACTCACATTACATTCATTAATGATACTCATTCATCTGTACCACATGAGTCAAACTAAAAATTAAAACTTTTAGTTACAGAGTCTGTGATTTAAAGATCTTTTTTGACAAAACATTGGAAAACTGTATTCTCTTTTATTTTTAGAAATTATAAAGATTCCAATGGTAGTAAACTGACCGTGAAACTCAGAATGCTTCTAAATTGTATTATAATGTGGCCAAATTAAAGGAGAATGTGTTGAATGTATTATTTAAATATGCATTGGTCAAGTATCTTAAACTGGTTAGACTCTATCTACTTAAGGAAAAAATGACTCAACTAACTCCTAGATTCATTTGTAGTGCTCTATTCTGTTTCCTGAGTTTTTCTTAAAAGTCTCAATAGGCAAGAGAGTTAGAGCTGTCCCTTTCCA